CATCTTTATTGCCATATTCACAGTCTATATTTCTGAGATGAGGTCTTGTAACTATTTACACTATTTACATTGTTTGGACTATTGTCCTCATCTTTATTGCCATATTCACAGTCTATATTTCTGAGATGAGGTATTCTAACTATTTACACTATTTACATTGTTCAGACTGTTATCCTCATCTTTATTGCCATATTCACAGTCTATATTTCTGAGATGAGGTATTGTAACTATTTACACTATTTACATTGTTCGGACTGTTGTCCTCATCTTTATTGCCATATTCACAGTCTATATTTCTGAGATGAGGTATTGTAACTATTTACACTATTTACATTGTTCAGACTGTTGTCCTCATCTTTATTGCCATATTCACAGTCTATATTTCTGAGATGAGGTCTTGTAACTATTTACACTATTTACATTGTTTGGACTATTGTCCTCATCTTTATTGCCATATTCACAGTCTATATTTCTGAGATGAGGTATTCTAACTATTTACACTATTTACATTGTTCAGACTGTTATCCTCATCTTTATTGCCATATTCTCAGTCTATATTTCTGAGATGAGGTCTTGTAACTATTTACACTATTTACATTGTTCAGACTGTTGTCCTCGTCTTTATTGCCATATTCACAGTCTATATTTCTGAGATGAGGTATTGTAACTATTTAAACTATTTACATTGTTTGGACTGTTGTCCTCATCTTTATTGCCATATTCACAGTCTATATTTCTGAGATGAGGTATTGTAACTATTTAAACTATTTACATTGTTTGGACTGTTGTCCTCATCTTTATTGCCATATTCACAGTGTATATTTCTCAGATGAGGTATTGTAACTATTTACACTATTTACATTGTTTGGACTGTTGTCCTCATCATTATTGCCATATTCACATTCTATATTTCTGAGAACAGACGATAACGACTGAGATTTAAATGTTTGAATGTCGTAGTTGACTGGAAAACAGGGAGCCTGAAAGAGAGGGTCCACAATTGAAAAGTCTAGGAGAAGAAACTATTAGCATAGAAATTACGGTTACATCTAGGAAATTCAATATGGAAATTTTGTAACTTAGATGCCAATCTCATACTGCGCTTAAATTTGCGTACTCGAGGTACTAAAGAAGAAAACTCATCAGAAAACTTACCTTGAAAATATTTATGGAATAGGCACAGAGAAACAACGTTAAAGCGACGAGAAGGTGACTGAAGCCAAGATAATTGCGAAAGATAGCAATTTTAAGTTGATTTATAAAAGGAAGTTCATCCTGATTACATTTGCACCCATATATATATATATATATATATATATATATATATATATATATATATATATATATATATATATATATATCCTTCTCAAAATGTGAGGGCGGTTTCCGGCAGCAATCACACAGCATTTACTCCTTCCTCTGCGAAAGTAAACTATACTTAATCTACTTGCATTATTTATATCATTCGGACTGCTATCTTCATCTTCATTGCCATATTCACAACGTTTCGGCCGTTGTACGCTCCGGCCTTCTTCAGTTGATTGCAATTTCGAACCGAAAATTTTTATTTCGTCCACCATGGTAAAATTTTTTTAGTTCAACGTTCCATGCCTCTTCTGGATGTCTCAGTTATTTCCCTTTAACTCAACAAGTTGTTATTTTTTTGTTTTGTTTTGTTTTTTCACCATAGTTGTTTCCCGGTATTGAACTCACAAACTTTTGTATCTATTCAATGAATCTAACCAACGTCTTTATCCAACGACCGAAACATTGTGTATATCGCAATGAAGATAAGGATAACAGTCCGAATAATGTAAATAATGCAAGTAATCATAATACCTCATCTCAGAGATATAGAGGCAGAAACGTTGTGAATATGGCAATGTAGATGAGGATAACAGTCCGAATAATGTAAATAATGCAAGTAGTGTTTGTTTTTCTCATATTCTCTAACACTCGGTAACACCTTGAGTTTTAGTGGCTATTCCTTTACTTGAGGTGAAGTGATTGAAATAAAAAAAAAGATATAAAATTGTAGTTTCAAGAAATCTACTTCGTACAACAGTTTATTCGTTCATTATTTTCCGGACTTGAAGCTAGAACAAAATATTGTAGTTTACCTATTAGTACCGGGTAAATAAAAATTAGCCCAAGCAAGAATTTTTGGAGATGTGACTTTGGCTAGTTATCCCCTAAAAATTTAGTTGACTCTTAAAATTTTTGTAGGGATGTTTTGTGTGAAAATTACAGAACAAGACATTGAGTTCACTGAAGAAA